GGTTACTCAATGTCTGGTTAACACTAATGTCCGGTTAAACATTGTTATCGACGTATTCGACTCCATTCATATAACAGGGAGTCGGTAACGTCGATAAAGATGTTTAACCAGAGATTAGTGTTAACCAGACATTGAACAACCGGCCCTTAGGGCCACTACCACTACACTATCGACGATTTCGACATCATGCATGTAACATGTGATCGATAAAGCAGTAGTTGTGCTTAACCGGAGCTTCCACCTCCGATTTGTGCTAATCAGACATTGAACAACCGGCCCTAAGTCAAAACTTAAATAGCCGCTAACTGACAGTCAACCTCAAAAATGTTTACGGTTGAAATTTAAGCAAAACTGTCGATTTTTATCGCCAATGTGTACCACACATAACATTAAATCGGTACCTTCGATAACAATAGAGGTCTTCATGAACGAAAGGGCTCTGTCACACGGTCAGTAATTATCACGATATTTGGATCGCGATCCATATTCAATATTTATCGCGTCAGTATTTGCATAATTTTTGTGCTGAACGCTTATTATGACGCAAGAAAATATTTTTATTTTGTACGTATAATTTACAGATAATGCATTCCACAATTATTTTAAAATTTCCAATGTTAATTAAAATTTGTTCAATTTGTTTTGAAAGATTTTAAGCCCCGAGAGCGAAGGCAGAGCCGATGTTCTCATTATGAGAGTAAAAGATGTACCGACGAAATGTATGGATCGCGTTTTGAAAGTGCTACACGTTCAATATTTATTGACGGTATCGCGATCTGCGATTCAGATTTCAAAATTTTTAGAAATTTTGCGATATGGATCACGATCGATCAATACCGCATGCTAAACCGTCAATAAATATCGCGATACTTGGATCACGTCAATAAATACTGACCGTGTGACCGTGCCCAAAGACACAAGACCACGTACGAACAAGAGAGTGAAAAAGTCAATGTTTTGCTTGGGTTGCGGGTTCACTCCATCTTGTTTTACTGGAAAACGAGCGAAAAGTAAACAAAGCAAAGAAAGCAACGAAAATCAAAATTAGCCAAAATTATTAGTTGCGTTCCAGATGATTCACGATTTGCAGGTTTTTACAGGAAGTCGTTCCAGGTGACCACCTCCCATAAGGTTTATTAATGGGGAAAACAGCAGTTCGTGAAGCATCTGGAGCGCAACTATTGTCAGCAACTTTAAACACACAATTTAGGTAAAATGATGCATTAAAATGCTGTAAAAAATGTCATGATGAATTAACTCTTCTTTCCTTAAATGAAAGTGTAAAATAATGGTGCATGTGATGTAAACAAACGCACAGCTGACGAATCCGCTTTCGCACACTTTTTTCTCAAAATCAGTTACAAATGCAACGTCACGTTCTTACGTGATGTCGTGTTTTTGGATCATGAGGGATTTTCATCAAAAGTGATAAACTTGATAAAATAATAGGGGTCTTCATCTAAAGTGATAAATTGTTCGACCTCGGATTAGTTCGAATCAGACATTGAGAAACCGGCCCTAAGGCCCATTTTCACCATCTCTGGTTAACACTAACCTTCAGTTAAACATCATTACCGACGTTATCCGCACAATGTTATATGCATGGAGTCAGTACCGTCGGTAACGATGTTTAACTGGGGATTAGTGTTAACCATAGATGGTGAAAACGGCCCTAAATGAGCTTCGCTTGTAAGCGGTTACCCAACGCACAGCATTACATACGTAGAAGTCTGTTGGTTTTTGATTTCTACGTAAAAATGGTATAGCAGTGCATGCACCGCCAAGTATACATAACAGAGCCTTTGTTGTAACTGCAGGTTAAACATCGTTATCAACGTGATCGACTCCATAATATAGGGCCGGTGGTTCAATGTCTGATTAACACTAATCGGAGGTAGAATCAGACATTGAACAACCGGCCCTTAGTGTTAACCTGACATTGAGAAACTGATGGCATAAATTAACTAATTACTTTTGTAAAGGACGAAAATAAAAACTACTACTACTAGAATTTTTTAAACCAGATGCATATTATTGGTCCGCAAATTAAATCATATTC